GAGGAAACAGGTGGCAAATTAAAGAGCCAAGGAAAGGGAGGTCTTTCAGATCTGGTTGAAGTTCTGCTTGATATGACTTACTATTGTAGGGGTTTGGTACGAGCCAGCCCAAGATGTGCCTCAGTGGTATGCGGATTATTCTGGGCTAAAGGCAACCAAGATCTTGTGGGCTCAATAGAAACTTCTGCCACCCCTACCCTCACCCCCTCCCAAATATCTAGAACAGCGGTTCTCAACCTGTGGGTCGCAACCCCTTTGGCGGTCGAACGACCCTTTCACAGGGGTCGCCTAAGACCATCCTGCATATCAGATATTTACATTACGATTCATAACAGTAGCAACGTTACAGTTATGAAGTAGCAACGAGAATAATTTTATGGTTGGGTCACAACATGAGGAACTGTATTTAAAGGGCCAGAAGGTTGAGAACCACTGAGCTAGAAGAATTTAAATTAGGGGCCTGGCCTATGTTAAGAGTTACCACCAGAAGTAACTTTTTACCTATGTACATGGCAGGGCAAACTCATAATTACTGAACTCGGGCAGCTACCTTCTGAAGCCCCAAGGTGCCTAACCTGAACTCTAGCTCAGAATGTCATGTATACCCTATTTTCCCTTTTCGTCTCTGAACCTCTCATGTATGTGGGGGTTCCCACACATGCGTATGTAATTGAATTTGGTCACTTTCTCTTACTAATCTGCCTCCTGTTTATTAGATCATTAGACCAGCTGATAGAACCTGGGGGTAGGGAGAGCTTCTTCCTCCCCTGCACCATGGGTAGCATCCTGTGTACGCCTTCACCTAGCACTTTTGCAGGATCTCTGAAGCTGAGGTTACACCAGTATCCATGTAGTTCACCCAGGATAGTTCTTGGACTGAAGCAATGCCTGTTAGATGACTTGACTTCCTTTAAAAAAACAAACATACATATATATATGGAGATATATATATATATATATATATGTATGGATATATGTGTGTATATATACACATATGTACATATATGTATATCTCCATGTCATATTTGTGTGATATATATATATATATATATATATATTGACTGTACTCTTACCTGCCTTCATAGTTCTATGTAACCTATAAGACACAGGACTGGGCTCTTGCAAAACACTTTTCAGACTATTCTGGCTCATAGTAATTGTCTCTTCTGTATTCCTGTGGAATTTTCAGTTTATACCACACAGAGCAGCAGTTTTCTCTGCAGTCTTTGCTAATGATTTATGTATAGTTCAGTTTTGGGCACAGAATTATAGATGACTTTGTTTTATTCTTTCATCGTTGTTTTATATATGTATTACCTATGGCCCCAGCTAGCATATAAGTTCCTTGATAAATACTGTTCTTTTGTTTTGTGTCATTTTCTTTTCCTGTAGAGCTTTCATTGTTGAGGTTCCTCAGTGCTGAACTAACAAGAGGGTACTTCCTTGAACATAATGAGGCCAAGTACACAGAAAGAAGAGAAAGAGTGTACACTTGTATGCGAATACCAAGAGAATTGGAAAAGGTACCTTTTTTTTTTCTATTACCAGACATCATTTTGAAAGTTATGTCAATGTGCTAATCATACAAAAAAAATAGTGAACAGTTTGAGTTGAGTTTTTAAATATTTGGAAATAATTAAATATAGTGGGGGAGTAGGATAAAGAAAGAGGCTTTAAAGAGTATATTTTTAGTGTGAGATCCAATGATTCTTAACTTTGTTTCTTAGTAAACTTACCCTATTTCCATGTGTGTCCCATCCAAATAACCTTTTCCAAGGAATTAATCTCCACTTATTCTGGTAGTTCTCTTCAGTTTTGTTTTATTAGAAACAGTTCTTTTTTCCATTCAGCATAATAAATTATTTAATGTCAGCCTTCTTTAAGGTTTTAGTTTCTCAGACAGCCTTCATATTTAAAAACATAAATTATAGTCTCTTCATGAAAAAGGTGGTTCATTTTGCCTTCATCACAGAGAATATCACATCATAGGTTGGCATAGTTATGACAGCTCCATGTCTACACACACCATGTTCCCTCGATTGTGTCTCTGTCTAGACCAATCAGATGTGGCAGGAAGCCACTCTCCTCTACATTGCTAGAACTGGCGACTCTGAGCACTTCCATATTTCTTGCTAGAAAGAAAGAAGAAATAATTCAGCTTTAGCTATATTAAAACATGTTTTCATAGTTTTATAGTAACACTAGAGGCCCAGTGCACGAAATTCGTGCACGGGTAGGGTCCCTACTGGCAGCCAGCTGCCGGCTGGGCCTTCCTTCATTCCACACCACCCCCTGGTGGTCAGCACACATCGTAGCAAGCGATCGAACTCCAGGTCTCAAGTTGAACTCCGGAGGGGACACTTTGCATATTAGGCTTTTATATATATAGATACAACTTAAAATATTTCAGTCACTTCCTTAGAACCATATTATCTGTTCCATTGGCTGTCAGAAGAGTGTTGTTGGTTTGTTTTATCACATATTATAATGGCAAGAGGTGTGGTAGGCAGTGAGAAGCGAGGATCAGCTGGTTTGGCTGATGCTCTTTTTTTTTATGACTGTCCATCAGTTGGGTAGAAGGATGAGTCAGGCATAGAGTGACAACTTGAGAAATGTTGCTTCACATAGGTTCTTGGTGGCATGTTACATGCTGAAGTTTTAGGAAGTTCCGTGTTGGGAAGATTGGAGAGCTGGGGAACCAGCAAAGATTCTGGGAGAGAACACACATGGCAGTGCAGTTCTGTGTTACCCTAGGTCAGGATCAGTGAATGTGCTTGGTTTATTTGTTCTAGGGAGTTCTAGGGTCCCCAGGGGAGCCGAGGGCCTGGAGGATGAGAAGGGAGGTGGAGGGGTGTGCGGGCGCTCTCTGCAGCAGCCTCCTCTTGCAGCAGTGCCTTTGTTCTGTATATTGGAGTTTATGTAAGATTTTCTCAGGGGTGGAGGGTAATGTTTCTTATGCTTGCAAAAAAGAAAGATTAAACTAATTCTTGGATCCTTCTTAGAACACTTTAAAAAACTTGCTTTTCAAAGCTCACTTTTTTCCTCTAGTAATAAGCCGTGAGGTGGAAATGTGTGGACATACTGCAGAGGCCGCTGGAGGGAGGGTCTGCTGGGGCCATGTTCTTGTCAGGACAACGTTGGCCCGTTGTCCAGCCACAGACAGTTTACCCACCTGCTTTCTGCAGGGAAGTGCTTTCTTCCACCTGGTGGAGCTGATCTGGACTCCGTTCTTCTCTGGGGAGAACACAGAGGGATTTGCCTGTAGCCACAGCCAGGCCAGGGACACACCCAGGGGACTGCTTCAGAGCGGGGAGGTGTCTGTCTGTCTGACCCTGTCTTACCCCTCCTGTGACACAAATAATGAGCAGTGACAGCATCCCTTTATAATTCTATCACCTCATCAGAGGCAGTTCAATACACATCATTCTCTCTTCTTTATTGGTAATATTCATTGAAATAACAAGTTTTTTAGTAGATTTCTCATAGAAACTTATAAGCATTTCATGTTTGTTATTGTGAGTATTAAGTTGTCTTCTGGGGAAAATGCCTACAGGTCTTGATAAGACTAAAGTATAAATCAGTGTTTTTCAAACTGTAGTCCATGACAGAACCACTGATGGGTAACCCATATGTATGGATTTTTTTTTTTAAGAAAAGAATAGAAGTATTAGAGCACATTGCCTATACTAAGGGTATTTTTTTTTGTGTGTGTGTGAAACTGTGTATGTATGTAAAATGTAGAATGTCAGGAAAGTTGAATTAATACTGTTCATGCACAGTTGTCATAACTTTCTAACCCTGCTTCCCATGAAGGAGGGTGTTGGTGTTAGGCCTATTTGGGAAAATTTGATTTAGTCTCTTAGAGCAACACTTTAGAAGCTTTATTGTTTAAAATGCAGGAAAGGAAGTCATACATTTCAGTTCAAGGCATTCTTCACCTCTAAGACTAAGGGAAACCTAGAGTGGAGGTAGATTTCAGTTTAACTTTAGGCTTAAATATCTCTCCTAACCATGAATGATACCCCTGTGGCCCTTATTTTCTATGAGTAGTGTTTCACCTCGGGCTTTCTTTATAAGAGCTGGGAGAATATCTAGACATTCATGTTAATCTAAATTATGTTTATTGGCTTCCTTTGTGGTTGCATTGTCTATTCTAATACATAACACCTTACTCATTTTTGTTCTTGTTTTCGGTAAACGTTATGACATTTTCTCCTAGCCTTTGGAGGGAGAGACACTTGATTACAGAGCACTTTGCTTCCACAAGGGTTGCACGCATGGTACTATAAAACATGTAACTAACGTTTGTACTTTCAAGCGAAGAGAAAGATCAATTCAATATCTCTTACTGAACCTGTTTACTAATGTAAAAAAATCCCAGATTTTTGTCCAAGGGCTAATTTTGTCATCTGTATGAATCTAAAATTGCAGCAAATGGTAAAAAAAAAAAAATCACAGTATTTTCTAAAATTGCCTCATATATATAACTGCTAATGTAGAGAAATAATAGATCACTTATTCATTTATTTGTTTATTTTCCCGGTCTTTGTTTTGAATACTTACTATGTTCCAGGTACTTTTACAGGGAGGAAGGACTTGTGAAGGTAATTGGCAAGGGGATGAGAAAAAAGAGGTAGATTTTGTCTGTGCATTGTAGGGCCTATGAGTGTGTGTGGGGAGGGGAATCTGTGAGGTACACACAGGAAAGGACAGGTACACTGGAAGGACAGGCTGGATCCAGGCTGGTGAAGCTAAGGAGTTTAGACTGGCTTTGGGAGGACTGTTAAAATAGATTTCTTTCTTTCTTTTTCTTTTTCTTTTTTTTTTTTTTACAGAGAGGAAGGGAGAGGGAGAGAGAGTTAGAAACATCGATGAGAGAGAAACATCGATCAGCTGCCTCCTGCACACTACCCACTGGGGATGTGCCCGCAACCAAGGTACATGCCCTACACCGGAATTGAACCTGGGACCCTTGAGTCCGCAGGCCGATGCTCTTTCCACTGAGCCAAACCGGTTAGGGCTAAAATAGATTTCTTTGGAGTACTTTGAGCTGTGTATGAAACAGAATACTAACAGTTAGCTATGTATGTAATAGGATACCTAACAGTGGCTTAAATAAATAAGATTTTTTTTTAGCAAGTCTCAAGGAAGGAGGTCTCAATTGTTCCAGTAGATTAATGAAGCCAGCATGGACCAAATCTTTTTGATCCCTCTACCAGTATTTTGCCATCGTTGGCAAATTGGCTTTTGGTCCTCTTGCTCGTTGCAGCCTCAGGCATCACATCTGCATAATAAGCAGAAAGAAGAGATGGACAGTCCCCTCTCTGACTGTTCCTTTTATAAAGAATTAAAAGCTTTCCCAGAAGTGCCCAGCAGACTTCCTTCTGCTTGTATCTTACTGGCCAAGCTGAGTTATACACTCGTCCCCAGCTGCATGGGAGACAAGGACAGTAAGTGCTCTGCTTTGCCAACAAAAGGAAAACGGATTGAGGGTGGTAATCGGATTAGCCACCTTTCAGAGCTATGCTTCTGAAAAATTAGTATAGGAGTGTTCAACATGGATTAGAAGTAAAAGAAGCAAGAAGATCTCAAGATCTCATCATGTGCATATCCTTCTCCATTGATTGATTTACCTTTAAGAAATTTATTCCTCATGTTAATTATATGTCAGGTGTAGGTTGTGATTAGTACAGGGGTGGGCAAACTTTTTGACTCGAAGGCCACAATGGGTTCTTAAACTGGACCGGAGGGCCGGAACAAAAGCATGGATGGAGTGTTTGTGTGAACTAATATAAATTCAAAGTAAACATCATTACATAAAAGGGTACGATCTTTTTTTTTTTTTAGTTTTATTCATTTCAAATGGGCCGGATCCGGCCCGCGGGCCGTAGTTTGCCCACAGCTGGATTAGTACGAAGCCTTTTCTCAAAATTACTTATTTTCTGTGGTTATGTGTGTTTATGTAACCTTGCCTGTCATAAAAGTTAAAATTAAAATACATTTTTGAATTTTTTTTACATTGTAATTCTATGCTTTTTGGCAATCCCTTATTGCTACTATGCTTTGTATATTATAGTTACTTAATACATTTTTTAAAATTGAATTCAGCTGATTAGTCTTTAAAGGCAACTATTTAGCTGTCTTAAGAATCTAGTGAATTTTTATTTTTAACTTTAAGTTTGTCAGGTTGAAGATATAGGTATTGCTGTAGGTATAGAATATTGTTATTTTTAGGCATAGGCTATTATTATTATTGAAAGAGAGAAAGGTTACTGTCACACAGGGGAGTATTTGCGGTAAAGATTCAATACCCATAGCTTCTCATCTCAGGTCTGCAGGGCATAGCCAAGTGATCTAGTCGAGCCTGGAACCTCCTTTGGCTGTGACTTCATCTAAAATTAGAAGGCTGAACTAAGTCATCTCAGAAGGGCTGATGATTGCATATGAGAAACAGGAGAAATGGGGTGCATGGAGAGACCCCAGAAAGTGGTGTTACATAAAAGTAGAGGAACTTCGTTCTGCTTGTTTGAGGGTCAGAGAAGATAACATTTAGGAAAAATAATTGTAAAAGTTCCTTTCAAAGTAATGAATTTAATGACAATGTCATATAAAGCCTTTTTTGTTGTTTCTCACTGTGAGGTATGTGTTAAGAAAGTGTAGTCATGGCCATTGTCTCACCCTGGTTCAGTAAACAGTCCTTGGATTTCCTTGTGAAACTAATAAAGGGCTTACTCAGACCCACGTTGGTGGCAGAGACACTTGGGCATCCTGCTCGGTTTCTAATTTCATGAAAACATGTTTGGGGGCACCATCCCTTTAAATTCTTCTCATGGTGTGGCCCTCTTTTGTTACACACCCTGACTCGGATGTCCTGCCACACAGCTGCTGAGAAGCAGGAAAGGGTGGGGACCTGCCCAGCTCACCCTCTCAACCGCCTTGTCTGGTAGTCCTCCCTTCCCCTCGGAGGCTTGGCGCCCCCTGCTGGTAGAGGTGGTGACAGCAGCTTCCATATTCCTTCTGCAGCCCTCTTACTTTTCTCAACCACAGGGCACAGGGCCAGTGGCAGCAGCACAGAAGCCCCCTCCAGAAGCGGGTTTAGAGGTGATGGGGGAGTGGCTGGGGCATCCAGGGCCTCCTTGGCCTAGTGTAGGTCCTGCTACCTACTGGGCACATAGGACTCATCAGATGGTTCTAGGGCCAGCCAGCCGCGACTTCCACCCCATTCACTGATATGTTTAAAGGACAGTTTGTGAACTTGGCACTGTGGGGCGATGTTTATATTTTTGAATCAGTAACTTCTGTCACTTCAGCTTTGAAAACAGTCTTAAATCTCTTTTCCTCTCTCTCCATTTGCTGCATCAGGCCATTGTGAGCTGTCACTCAGACTGTTTTATTGTCCTTAGCTGTTGTTCCTGCTTGCACTCAGTCTGCCTTAATGCTCCTTGCTGACTGCTCCCTGAAAAGGAGACTTGTGCCTGTGATGGCAGCTACAGTAAAGACCTCGCATCCTTAGTGAGACTCAGACGTGCCATGGGGTCCTGAGAGCACAGCCAGCCTCCTGCCCGCTCCAACCTCTCAGCAGGAGCGCACAGCCCTGCCTGTCCCTGCCACATACCACGGAATGGTCCTTGCCTTCAGGGTTGTTGGGAGGATTAAATAAATTAATGTGGGTCCAGTGCTTACAAAATAACTGTATTCAAACATGGATTGGAATTAAGAGAAGCAAGAAAATCTCAGGACCTTTCATGTGCATAGTGAAGGGAACCAGAATTTTGCCACCCCAAAACGGTCCCTTTTGGGATGTTGGTTTTAAGCTGGTTATTCAAAAACAGAAGACTCAGAAAGAACCTGTGGCCTTTCTATTTTCCTGTCTAAGAGACTCAGATGAAAAGGCCTGTTCCAGGAAGGAAATCTCAACACCCTCACCTTAGCAGTAGGTAGGAAGGCTGCAGGCAGGGGCCTGGTAGATAGACATCCCCTCTACCCCCATTGTTTCTGGGTTGCCTAGCAAGAATTTGCCCAGCACATGTGTCCCACTCTTCCTCAGCTACCTGTAAAATGCTTGTTTCCTTTGAAATCTCAGGCTTCTGCTCCCTTTCTCCTTTGTCCATAGTGGCCTCTAAACCTGAACTCCCCAGTCCGTTTCAGGCCTCATATCCTGCGAAACGCACCCCCCCCCCCCCCCCCCCAAAACCCCCCGCCCCATATACATTCGTGATGAACGTACATTTTCTCCTGTTAATCTGCCTCTGTCAATTTGAATCAGCCAGACGAACTTAGAAGGTGGGAGGAAAAGTAGTTTTTTGGCCCCATAATAGTTTTTCCACATATTAACATCTTAAATTGATTCTTTGTGTTAAATATATGTCAGATATAAGTTGTAATTATTGTCAAGTCTTTTATCAACATTACTTTGTTTTCCATGGTTACATATGTTTTTGTAACCTGGCCTATCATAAAAGTACCCGGTTCGAGGTAATCCCTTTGTACATCATCGCCTAGAGCAGTGGTTCTCAACCTTCCTAATGCCACAGCCCTTTAATACAGTTCCTCATGTTGTGGTGACCCCTAATTTCATTGTTACAAATTGAACATAATTAAAGCATAGTGATTAATCACAAAAACAATATGTAATTATATATGTGTTTTCCGATGGTCTTAGGCGACTCCTGTGAAAGGGTCGTTCGACCCCCAAAGGGGTGGCGACCTACAGGTTGAGAACCGCTGGCCTAGAGTGTAAACTTCCTGGGGACATGAATTTTTTAATTCAGGTGATTAAAACTGTTTTATTATAGGGACAACCTTGAATCTGCCATCATTGCTTTCAAAGTCAGTCACTTGTAAACTTTCTTATTGATCACTCATTCTCCTTCACATTCTTCTAATCATGAATCCTTGCATGTGGGCTTGTTGAGGACTTCTGGAACGTACAGCAAAGAGTGGCGCGCCTTAGTAATTAACTGAAGGTGATTTCTGTCCCTCTTGTATAATGATTACCTTCTGGCCACACAGCCACCCACTCACATTGCACCTGTGCATACTCTTCTCTTTGTTGGGAAGTCTGTTCCTCCTTACTGACCTGGCAAAATCCAGTGCCATCTTGTCTCCTCTGTGGGAGATCTTTGCTGACTCCATTCCCCTTCCCTGCATGCACAATCCCCATGCCACCCTCCACTCACACCACACCCCGCACAGACCTACTCTCTTGGCCAGTGCTGCTAGGGCACATCATTCATCAGGCTCTGACCACTGGCCTGTGTCCAGCTCACTGGCTTGTGCATTCCCTGGGGAAGGCGTCCTTCCTGGTGGCCTTTCATCCTCCCATTGTAGAACTGAGCTTTACAGAAAGTGAGACCAGGGGGAGGGTGGGAAATGCCCCTTCCCGCTTTACTGCTTCTTGCCAACTGACACTCCAGACCAGCCGGGGAGCGTCCTCAGCTGGCGTGTCCTCCACTAGCCGGTGGCAGTTGGGGTCATAGTGGCAAGATGGTATTCAGAATCGCCAGGAGGTGGTTTGTCAGATTCCAAGAGGCCTATTTCAGAATCGTTGTGCTGTCTTACTTTTATATATAACACTTGATTTATTTTGAAATTTCAAAGGGCATTAAAGACATTTTTGTCCGAAAGGTAAACATAGATGTTTTAAAAGGTAAGCCTTGCTCCATTCTCCACAGAGAGAGGCTGGCCTTTTTACTTATTTCTTTGGAGCCTAGTACTGTTCAAATGATGAAAAGCAATACTAGGACATTCAAAGTGAATGTGGTAAGAGCTGGTTATGGAAATTTTCACTGGAACTGGGTTTTCCATTGACTTCCAGGGTTATAGGATTATTGGCATTTTGTGCTTTTCTTAACATTGATGTTTTTTTAAATATATAAGGTGTCAAATCCAGTGGCAAGGTTGAGGCTGGAAGGAAGAGTGACAGGTGTCATTACTAGGAAAGTGCTTCAGTTTTCAAAGCCAAACTTTCTGCAGACCCACTGAAGTCTGGCCCTGCCTCTTCTGTTCATGAACTCGGGCAGGCTCTAGAGTCTGCAGAGTGGAGGTGGGGCCGTGCACACAGCCCACACACAGTGCCTAGTACTCTGGTGCCCGCTACCCGTAGAAGGCTTCTGAAGTCCTTCCAGATAATATCTCCTGTGGCACAGAAAGGTCAGTGACCATTTCTGCCCTTTGTTTTCACTTTTGTTTTTTTATTCCAAAGAAGACTCTCAAGAACTACCTTATTACCCTAGCTGGTTTGGCTCAGTTAATAGAGTGTCGGCCTGTGGACCAAAGGGTCTCAGGTTTGATTCTGGTCAAAAGCAGGTACCTTGGTTGCAGGCTCCTCCCCGGCCCAGGCCCTGGATAGGGGCTCATGCAGGAGGCAACCAATCGATGTGTTTCTCTCACATCAGTGTTTCTCTCTGTCTTTCCCTCTCTCTAAAAAAATCAATGGGAAAGTATCCTCAGATGCGGAGTAACCAAAAAAACACAAGCAAACAAACAAAAAAGAACTGCCTTATTAATTAAACAGAAGGTTATTTTGAAATAATTATTTTTTTCATGTAAATTCTTATAAAACTTTACTCTGAGTACAAATTTTAAATTGAATTGCTGAAATTTGTAAATCCCTGTTTTTCATACATTTTTGTACAAAGGCCTTTGCAGTGTTGCCAGTGCAGATGCTTCTGCAAAGCTCCTCGGGGCCACTTTGGACTGTCTTCACTGCTGTGTGGCTGCCAGGGAGGGAACTGAATTCCAGCACGCCTGCACGTCCTGGAACCTCTTTTCGGACAGGAGTTCTCACCCTTTGGTGGGTCATGAGTTTAATGAGACCAGCATTGTTTTTTTTAAAAGGAAGTAGAAAATACTCATCTGTATTTCATGGAGTAAAAGTATTATTTTAGCGAAAGTTTTCTTTTGGGTGTTTGAGTGTCTGTGTGTGTTTGTGTAGTGACTTGCAGTGTAAAGTGTACTAAGTTGTGGTCAGCAATTAAATCCTCTTCTTTGGGTGTTGAGCTTCTTAGTAAGACTGTTTGCTCTTCTTAAAACAGTGAACATATGTCGGTCTCTGCCACATTAGAGCTGCACACTAAGTGTTTGCTACAGAGAAAAAAGGAGGAACAAGCCAAAGAATGAGTCTTCCGTCCCCAGGAAAGTGGAAAAAGCCAAAAACTCCAGCGTGTGATTTCTTGTTGAGGCATTTTTCTTTTGCTTTAGTTCTTTGCCGTATCTTGGTTTTCTATTTTCTGTTATTTATATCATGGTCAGTCTAAACAGAGGAAATATTTATTTTATGGCCTCCCCATAAAAGTGAGATAACTGTCAAGTGAGAGATCACATTTACTAGGTGAGGTGGGGGTGGTGGCAGCACCAGAGGAGGCGGAAGTAGGGAGGTGGGACCAGAGAGGGACAAGGCCTGGCTGTCAACCAATAGAACAGGTTTTCGTTGTGATATAAGGAAGCATATTCCACAAGCATTGTGCTGCTTTGACTTTAGCCACACCTTGCATTTACTTTGAAACTTCAAGTGGCACTTAAAGGAAGACAAGAGATTTTTGTGTTTATCAAAAGGGAAACAGAGTGACATATGACACTGTTGTATTACTTTCTTGTCACACCTCATATATTTCAGGGGAAATTTTCTTTAGATATTACTTAAGACTGCTTGAGTACTTTATGGTTATTTGGTCCAAATAAAATGAAATAGTGATTGCCTATTTTATCAAGATGCCACACAAATGAACCAAAGGTATGGAAATACACATTATTCCCAATAGTAATATATACTTGGAGCTTTTAATTCTTAACACCTTTTCAAAGCTAGCTGTAAATAGAAATGTGTGACAGTTTCATGCCTTTTGTAAGTTTGATTCATTAAATGCCTATTTTTTATGACACTAGGCAAACTGGAAACAGATGAGTTAGCACAAAGACAATGACAGTCACCCCTATGCCTGGTGAAATAGTGGGTGAGAGCGAGCTTGGGCAGGCATCCCACCTCCAGAGCTGGGGCTTCCTCGGTGTTAGATAGGGGCGACAGTAACCACTCAGAGCTGTTGGGAGGAGGGAGGAGGGAGCACTTACTCCTGCCTGGAGGGCCACAGCATAGGACACATGCTTTGTACAGTCCCTTCCAAGTCCTGGGTCCATGTAATTTAGAGATGCTGGTTCAACATCTCGCTGGGTGCCAGGTTCGGGCCACACCAGCACAGGCTTTCTGACCTACAAGGAAGGATGAATGTTTTCAGGGTTGTGTCTTGTTTACTTTTTTAGGAAATGATCTTATTTTCATTTGTAAAGAATTTAGAAGATGCTGTACCTATGAGAAAAGGTAACATTTGAACAACAGGTACAGTAGTTGGGTCACTTCTCCGCTTTTATAAACCCTGAAAGGAGTTTCTATTGGTTGTGTACTGTGTATTCCAACATCCAAGGATGGTTTCTTTCCACCCAGCTGCAGTTTCTTAGGTCTCAGCCACTGTTTCCCTTCCATTGTAATGTGGGATCTATGGTATTGACAGCTCCCAGTTACGAGGTCGGCACAGTGTGAGGAGGTGATTGCTGGCCCACGGAGTTTATTGGGCTGGTTTAATATGTGAAGGGAAGGCCCCTTAGACTTTAGTTACTGTTGTTTACCATAAACAATACTAATGCAAATTCCTGTAAGCCAGTGGTTCTCAACCTGTGGGTCGCAACCCTTTGGGGGTCGAACGACCCTTTCACAGGGGTCGCCTAAGACCATTGGAAAACACATATATAATTACATATTGTTTTTGTGATTAATCACTATGCTTTAATTATGTTCAATTTGTAACAATGAAAATACATCCTGCATATCAGATATTTACATTACGATTCATAACAGTAGCAAAATTACAGTTATGAAGTAGCAACGAAAATAATTTTATGGTTGGGGGTCACCACAACATGAGGAACTGTATTAAAGGGTCACGGCATTAGGAAGGTTGGGAACCACTGCTCTAAGCCAAAGAAAGGTGATTATACTTTTATTCTGCAAGAAAAGGTTGTCTTCATCATTACTTTCTCTGTGCTCTTGCTCATGCTTCCTCCCGAGCCTGGCAAGCTTCCTTCCCCATCTCCCCACCTCCCCACCTCCCACACCTCCTCCTCCTACCCAGTCCACCCTCTCCATGTGGCAGTAGTTCTTCATCTTCTCAGATGTTAAAAGGGCCTCCTCTCATATGGGGCTTTTTCTGAGTCTCCCCAAGTTGGGCTGGCTATCTTCTCCCCAGGGCTCCGCTGTTCCCTGCATCCGTAGTTCTGCCGCGGCGCAGTTACCACGTCCCTGTCTGTTACCCACATGCTGGCGTCTCTGCTGAAACCTGAGTAAGCTTACCGAGGGCAGGAGCCCCCTCCCGTGGTCCTGCCTGGCTTTGCGCAGCTGGGCTGAGCATGGGCTTGGTCCTGTGAACAGCTTCATGGATGTTGGGTGAATGAGTAATGCGTCCATCCCCAGTGTCAGGGCATCAGAAAGACAGCTGCTGACTCCTTCCCAGCGTGCTGTTTCCTTACACATGCACACTGAAATGGAGAGGCTTCTCGGTGACCAGGGACGGGATCAGTTACCATTGCTACACACGGACGGCGCTCAGTCTCCTGCAGCTCTCCTTTGTAAGGGTGAAAAACAAGGCAGCGTGCAGAACCCTGCTGTGCTGGCCACAGTGGGTGACCGACTCTGACAACTGTCGTGGTCGGGAGACTGAAAAGGGTGGTCTGAGCACTGACATTGCACTTCCTTGGTTGTTCATGAGTCTAAATTGTTTTTTAAAAGGCTATAAATATATAAACATATCCACACACATATATGTATATGTACGTATAGAGTACATATATACACAAAGGTATGTGTATATATGTATATCGATAGGAAATATATTTTTGAGACATCTTGCAAAAAATTGATGAAATTGTCCTTTCTAACGATGTGATATAGTTTGCAAGGGCTGCTGTACCAAAGTACCACCAACTGGCTGGCTCCAGATTGCAGTCCTGAAGGTCAAGGCCGGTGGACAGCTGTCTCCTTGTGTCTTTGTGTCACCCACCCTGTGTCGGTCTCTGTGTCCACGTTTTCTCTTCTATTAAGGACACTGGTCATACTGGATTAGGGCCTACTCATGAATGCATTTTAACTGAACTACCTCTTTCAAGACCCCCATCTTTAAATGCAGTCATTGTGAGATACTGGGGGCAAGGACTTCATCATATGAATTTGCGGGGAGGGGATGCAGTTCTACCAGTAACAGTGTGATTGTTAACTATTTCCTACATTTGTGTAGGCAGTTCATTGACTAAGGATACATGGAGCGTCATGTGTGAGGGCATGTACAGCATGTCATGTTTGTGTGTCAGACATAGGGAAGTCCCTGCTCTTACAGTTGCAGAGTTTGGGAGCCTGGGTGTGGCAACTTCTCCACGCCATCAAAAGACTACACCCTCCTTTTATGAAATATAGTCCTACATTTAATGGGTAAAAGTGTATATTGTTACAAAAAATAGGAAGGATTGAAGTATACAAGAAAGGGGGAGAGATACAAACATTAGCAGTTACTCCTCCAATTAAGAATAATGCCTTCTGAATATAGCAAGTTCAAATACATACGAAATTGTGTTAAAATTAGGAACAATTTACATATTTTAACTCAATGGATATTCCAGTCCTTCCCATCCATGAAGCACTCTGATAAACAGGAAATAGCAAATTTATAAAGATTAAAGTTACAGTTACAAAGTTTTATCTGAAAGTTGTCTACAATATCTTTAAAGTTTGAGGAAGTACTCAGAAAGCCAAATCAGATCTTTCATAGCCACGGTCAAGGGCAACTTATCTTTTGAGTAATTGACTTCTGTGGGTGGTAAAACAAAGGCTCTGGAAGAAGAAGTACAAATTTACACTTTGAAAGAGGTTTTTCATTAAAATATGGCTCATATACACAAGTAGGACTATCAATTTGTTATTCTCATCGCCAAGTTACAAGATATGAACTTCCCACAAAGTTCAAAAATTCCTTGTTTACATTTTGATCTACAATTATTTAAAGAATGTTTATTTACGTGTTGTTTTCTTCTCTCCTTTTAAAATCCAGCTCATGGTTTTTGGGATCTTCCTGTGCCTGGATGCGTTTCTGTATGTGTTCACGCTGCTTCCGTTAAGAGTGTTCCTGGCACTGTTCAGGCTCTTCACTCTGCCTTGCTATGGCTTAAGGTAAGTGTAACATCACTATTTTCAGTGTTAA